TCATCGCCAACATCGTTGCGATGACGCAACGAAGAAAAGCGCAAACCCATTTTCTTTCGCAACCGTTGGAATACATTCTTTTCGTCTTTACGCTTACGACCAGTCGAGCTGCTTAGCCCGTGCTCTTTATTAGTATTCGAATCGTAGCCACTACTTGGGTTTCTGATACAAGCCGCCTGCAAAGGTTCATTGTTGTTGTTTTGTGTATTAGGTGGTTCCCGTGATGTTGATGGTATATCAGCAAGTGATATTTGTGATTGAGACTTTTTTCGTCTAGTCAATGACTGGAACCAATTGCGTTTCTCCTTACTCGTTGTGGGAGTAGTTGCGCTGGATGTGGTGGCGACATCACCACCACTGGCACCTGGCATTTGTTCACAATTCTCATTATTTGCTTGAAGGGGCTCATTCATTCTGGCTGTAAAATGTTGTAATTGTATATTATAAAGGACACATTTCTACTAATTTTACCGATTCCTCTCCTTCACACCATATCGAGTTCCGCGTAAGGATAGTTTTAATTATGCTACAAAGTACTTCATGCTAGATACATATTCTGTTTTGATATGCGATGATTGTGATTCCGATATTGTGAGTTTAGATGAGTAATATTTTATATTTAAACTAATTTGTAACTACTGCTAATTATGGAAAAAGGTAAAAAAATTCCGACAGATAAGAAATCGCCCTGTTTTTGTTTGCTTTCTATTTTCAACAACTGTCAATGAGTTTTCCGTGATGCCAAGTCATTTATTTCGAAAAGCGCTATAAACCTAAAAAGCTCCTTTTTTTTAAGAAAAAATCTCCAAGTTTTTAATACTATCTTTGATGTAATTTTCGGCATAGATGCAGAATAGCTCCGATTCCCAAATTTAAAACAAAAAACATATGGTGATCGATAGATCTCATTCCGGTGAGTATAAAGGAATATTTCTTTTGCGGAAACAACAATTACAAAAGTTATTAAGGGTCAAAGTTCAGATTAAAAAAATATTTAAATCAAAATTTCTTAAAACGCATGGTTTTTAAAAGTTTTCGTCTCATTTGATATGAAATTTAAGCCCCTTTAATTTGATACACATAACTTGCTAAGTTTTCACAAAAATCGAATGTAAAAAAAAAAAAAACAAAAAACAAACCCATTTTTTTAATTCCCTTATTAAGGATTTATAAATACGCAGAAAAGAGTTCCGCCCCGTCAGAGTGAGTACTTTGCTCAAGGATGAAACTAATAGTTGTATTTAATGAGACCGAAAAAGTGCAGAGCAGGTCAAGTTAGTTGCATTTCTAACATAAGAAAATTTATAGAATTTTTGAAACTCTTTCAGAGAGGCAAAAAACATGTGTTAGTCCGACTTTCTTCAAAATACGTCTCAATTTCTTTGTCGTAGGGTCGGGTTTCCTATATCGACTCTGGTTGAGATTGTATTGCGATTATGAATACATTTTTTTCAGCCAAGTACCTTTCAAATCATTGCAATTAACTAAATTAATCAAGTAAACAAGTATTTATTTACATTTTTCATTTTCAAATCGCTCAAGTTTGTAAATTTTTAAATTTAACGAACTTGTTTATTCAAATTATCATCGACAAAAATTCCATCCATGTGCCACAGCCATATGTTTTTCCTAATTGCGAATACTTGCTGGCAAAATTTTGTCTAACTTGAATTTGCAACTTTTTCCAAGAACTGGTATTTTTACTTGTGAGTTATTTAAATAAAACACGTGAAATTTAGCTGAAACAGTTATCCGTTTTTGCCGGCTTTTTTTGCCAATTTAGCCGGTTGGTCTAAAAAGTTCTGGCAACACTGAACAGAGCTGCCACTACAATGTGGGGTAGAAGCTGGAACAACTCATTATACAAAAATTTAATTAAAACTAAAATTTTAAATATTTGTATCATGGATGGGAACAACTTTTTGAGAAACTTTACCCCACCGCACTCCCTCTCTTCCCCACAAACAGATTTGTTCTGGTGGCGGAAATGTTCCTGTGTGAAACCGACCTTACTGAATAATGTATGTATGAATGAAAACTATCGATACTGCTTACAAAACCATCGATGTTTTCGATTAGCAAAAACCATCGATAGTGCCATGGATAGTTTTGAAGCTCTACTTTGCTCCCAAAATGAAAGGGAAAAAGTTGCATGCGATACTAAGGGTGGGTAACTCTGTAAATTTTGGTGTGCTGACTCAGTAACTCCAACTCACTTTAATGAGTCAGCACAGAGAGCTGGCACAAGTGTGCTATCGCACAATTGGTATGTGCATCGAAATTATTGACGATGTTAGTAATCGAAATCGATTTAGAAAAGGTTATCCTTAGCTTCTATTCGTAGCTGGCCGGCAAAATTTTAGAAAGCTGATTTCAACTGGTGAGTTCATTTGCGAATAAATTCCCTACTTAGTTTTGCTTGAGAGTTGTCACATAAGAATCTGTTAAATGGGCTATGCATGTAAGCGGTTACCCAACGCATAGCACTTCACATGTAGAATTCTGTTTGGTTTTGACTTTTACGTAAAAAGGGTATAGCAGTGCAAGTATGCATAACTGGGCTATTCGCCTTGCTTCTTGTTAAATTTGGTAGTCGTATATTCAACTGATGGTAAGTCTCGTGACGCCATCTATTATGGTACTTTTTGGAAGATCGTATTGTGTGAATGTGTCAGCTCATCAATTGAGTTACCACATCGACACAGTTGTAAACAATGCAGCCGAACCGAGCTATGCAAGTGTCAGCACATCAACTGAGTTACCATATCGACACTGAAGCACACTGAGCTATACATTGTCAGCACATAAACTGAGTTACTGAGTTACAAATTTTTTCAGAGGTGAGTCTGAGCGTGCGGCACATTTCTAAGAGTCAGCACAGTAACTCAGCACAGTGCTGAGTTACCCACCTTTATGCGATACCATTCCGTCGAAATCTTGTTTCTTTTTCTCTTTTTATAAAATAAATTCAATTACTCAAGCCTGCTTCCGTCTTAATTCTATTCGAGATATGTAAACTCCCTGTCTTCTTTTGTATCGTTCCTCGTACTGTCCACGCCAGCTAATAATTCCTCGTTCTCTTCCGATGCATTCTCTGCTTCAACTTCGACATTTTCACTGAAATTTACTTCTTCGTCTTCATTGAACTCATTAACTCTGTAGGCATGGAATTCGCCAATTTTATTCCCATCGATGTAATGATAATCAAAGAAGCACTTCTTGCAGATATAGGCTGGATCATGGAGTTGGCGATCACTTTTCGTAACAATGAACGTATATCGTCCTGTGCCGCACATATTGCACACACGAGTGTTAAAGTGTACAAACGAGCAAAGTCGGGGATAAAGTTCGCGCTGTTTGCACGCTATGCTGGGTATCAGTAAATCTACCTGGGATATGATGAATACATGCTCGCAATTGCCATGGTGCTGGTATAATTGCGGAAACCCTAAGCTCACAGTTAAATCCAGGAACCGTGTCGTTTCCATTTGTGCTACTTTAAAACGTAAATCTTTCAGACCGACAGCTTTTTTAGCCCAATTACGAATCACCTCTGAATAATCTGCGTTGTTGGGATTGCGACGGTCATTATAGAAAGTATTATTTATGAAGAAAAATGCTGGATCAGTTGCCTTTGCTGGTAGTTCGGCAGTCGGATTATTGCTAATATCGAAGAAGCGTTTCTTTTTACAAACACATGATATCTTGTCACGTAAATCAGTAAGATAATTTGTGCCTAAGCACTCAAACTCTTCAGAAAACACTGGCTTTTCTAAACTTTGCCCAGTGTGAACGGCTCGAGCAGGCCTGTAAATACGCACCTTTACAATTATATCATTGTAAAAATTGCAAGGTTCGTATTGCTCACATTCGTGCTGAACAGGAAGTGGTATCATAGGGTATATTTCGCGTGAACGCTTAAAAGGATTACGACGTTGCATTCTTTCTTTAGAATTATTAATTTCTTGGTATGTTTTTAAGTTGGTTTCATCGACCTTTAAAGGGTTACGAGAAGGGTGGCTTGTGCCCGGTTCAAACTTTATAATATTAGCGTCATTATCTTGTTGTAGTTGCTCTAAACAGCACTGTGCAGTTACATTTTTGAAGCGCTTTGGGTCTGCAGATAAATTCATTGCATCTTGAATATCTTCATGGCATTCGGGTATCGTCATAGACTTAAGAGAAGTTTTCCAATCTGCTAAGAATTCCTTTAAAGAAATTGGCGGCTGCATCTCTTGGCCTAGTATTTCTTCCATTCTGGCTAGGGATTCAACAGTTTACTGAAAAGATAATATAAATAAATTTGAAGTGAAAATTCATTCCAAATCCAGTTGAAGTGGTAGCATATTATATTTTTGGGACCGGGACATATACATACATATGTGGACAAATATGTACATACATACATTCTACTTATATTAATTTGTTAAGGTTAGTAACTCAACGAATATCATCGAACGATTGAAATTTTCTTATAGCTTCGTCGTAAGACATATTTATTTGAAGATTAACCTCCGCAAATGGTCTTTCATGTCTGTCTTGATTTATGCCGGTATCGCCTTTTTCGAGAGACGCTTTTTTGTTATCAGCATCAGGCGTATCATCCATCCGTTCACATTCTTTACTTTCGGCAAAGACACGTTCAAAATATATTATTTTACTAGTTTTGGCGAAATATTTATATTTTTGTCGACAAGTAGTTTCAAACAACGGATCTGACGGTGTGGCGTCTGGATCTTTCTCAAAGAACACACACGTTCCCATTGGGTTATCAAAGCTTCCTGTTGATATTTGCTTTTACATACTTTTTAAGTTAATTATTTACATAAATATCAAATACCTTTAAATATATTTCCATTTACTTCAGCAACTGGATCACTGTCCAGACCAATTATTTTAACTGGAATGTTTTCATCCAGTTCAAGAGAACCTAGCTGATTTTTAAAGTCAGCGAATATTAAAAATTCCTCCTCTTCATAGTCTGATTCTTCGTCCATATTCAAGAATTACAGGATTTTCTGGATCGTGGTTCGCACTCATTAATCGATGCATCGGAAACATCGATGTTTGCTATTTGATGCATCGAATAAACTCGATGTTTTGGACCTTGCGATATATATCGATGTATTTTTTTTTCGATGCATCGCCTTTTGTGTGCAATGTACACTGTACATATTAAAATTATTTTGTATGCCCCCAAACTCTTTGCTCTAGTAACTATTCTAAAACCCGATTTACATGATTCAAGTACTTGAAAGCAATTCTTGCTCATTCTCTTTTGTGTTTTCTATTTGCTTTTACACGTTTCAATTCTGTTGAATTCAAGTTTTTGGTTCTTTAAATGGGAAGCAACGAAAATGCCAAAAGCAAAGCAAGAAAGTTGAAACGACTTGACGGTACA